ATGTATGGCTGACAGAAAAACACATCCAAAATGGAGAATATGCTCACAGACACACACACACTGAAATGAAATGATTAAACTAGTTAATTAATACTCAATAAGCATACTTAAACACATACAGGGACACATACACAGACATACATGCACACACATTTTGTTGCAGATATAGATATTTGAAATTAATGATAAGTGACAAAACTTATTGCAAGTCTTCTCTTTTTAAGAGTGTATAAGTCATTTTCAGGTTTCACTGTAATCATAATCTGGCATAATTGTCTGTATGAACAAAATGGTCAACTTTGACTCAATGTGATTTTAAATGTCATAATGATTTTACTATGTCTTAGCATGAATCCATAAGCTAACCTATGAATAGAACTGTTTCAGTGCATTTAATGAGCCCATTAGTGGTCTTCCGCTGCCATCTAGTGGTTATAATTGCAATTTCTCATACAATACTGTTTTTAACGTTTATAACTATTAGTGTTATTTTTTTTGCCCAATCACTCTTAAATTTCACATGCTTGTTTAGAATGAAATTATGCATAATTTTACACAGTTTGAGAGATATTGTGGGCTTTATTTCATAGGCCTTTGGGTACACTATGTAAAGAACATATTATAAAATGACCAGTTTATATTTGTCCAAATGCAAATGTTCAACATATTTTTGATAATTATTGACCTAGAGAGTCTAGAGAATAGTACTGCACTGATTTTTATTGATTTTGAGTTTAAACCCTACGACTAGTTCACAATTAACAGTTTGATAGACAGCAGTGATCCTATAGTCATTATTCAGAATGAGGAGATCTATCAAATGATATGAAGATATAGTGTATAAGTTAATATATGAACATTTTATTTCAATTTGAGGTCATTTACTACAGAAATACTGTTTTTGAGACAGCATGCTTGTTAAGAGTCATCTGACATGTTTTCACCAAGCTTCGTAAAGTTTGGAGTTTTTGTTTAGGTTTTACAGGTTTCGGGGTATATTTGACCACTGCCTTTTCTAAATAACCCCGTTAAAGGTAAACAAAGAACAAAATTCTAATTTTTTTTGATAATTATTGATCTAGAGAGTCCAGAGAATATTACTGCAGTGGTTTGATCGAGATCTGAACCTAGAACTAGTTCGCAAAAGTAGGGTTTTAACAATTTGTGAATATTTAATGAATGACTGGATTGACAGCAATGGTTCTTGAGGCAAAGTTTCTCATTATGAGGAGTTCTATCAAATTATATGAATATTGTGTGGATGAGTGAAACACCACGCGATTACTGAGCCATAAAACTCGTTAGCGCCAACTAGTGGCCGATTTCTTTCAAAATTCTTACAGACCTTTAGGGCCATGAGTCGAACATGCCCACCGAGTTTCGTTCCGATCGACCTCCGTTAACTTGACAAATAGGTGCTTAAAATTGTTTGGCCAATAGCGGCCATGTTTTTTTAGATACGTGAATGTCCTCATAGAAACTTGTGCCACTTTGGACAAAGACACGGCATATCAATTTTCAAGTCGATCAGACTAACGCTTGCCTAGTTATAGCCATTTTTATGTTTTTTTAAATCTTGTAGCGCCATCAAGTGGCAGAGCTGCACAATTTTTTTTATTTTGACCAAAGATTGAGCTCTTACACATGTGTCCCGTGTTTGGTGAAGATATCTCATTCCGTTCAACAGTTATAGCCATTTTTGTAAAATTGGCGAAAATTTAGACTTTGATAATTATTGATTTTCACTGTCCAGATAATTTTTCCAGAGAAAGTTTTGAGTCTACAATAAACGGTCTAGGAGTTATGAGCAGTTTTGCGTTTTTGATTGCTGCGTGCTTGAACCCCTAATAATAATAATTTATGCATTTAGCACACGCTTTTATCCAAAGCGACTTACAGTGCATTCAGGCTATACATTTTTTACCAGTATGTGTGTTCCCTGGGAATCGAACCCATGACCTTTTGCGCTGCTAAATCTTGTAGCGCCATCAAGTGGCAGAGCTGCACAATTTTTTTTATTTTGACCAAAGATTGAGCTCTTACACATGTGTCCCGTGTTTGGTGAAGATATCTCATTCCGTTCAACAGTTATAGCCATTTTTGTAAAATTGGCGAAAATTTAGACTTTTCGATAATTATTGATTTTCACTGTCCAGATAATTTTTCCAGAGAAAGTTTTGAGTCTACAATAAACGGTCTAGGAGTTATGAGCAGTTTTGCGTTTTTGATTGCTGCGTGCTTGAACCCCTAATAATAATAATTTATGCATTTAGCACACGCTTTTATCCAAAGCGACTTACAGTGCATTCAGGCTATACATTTTTTACCAGTATGTGTGTTCCCTGGGAATCGAACCCACGACCTTTTGCGCTGCTAACGCAATGCTCTACCACTGAGCCACAAAAATGAAATAGCCTATGATAAGTACAGAGAGTCTCTCTCTTGCCCCCACCCACCAATGCACGATAATATCATCTATCGGCGATCTCACGGGCTGGCGATATGACAATTTGAAAATGACCATATTGCCCAACACTAGTACACATTCACTTGTTGAACTTTTCCCAAACTATAATGCCAGACTAAAATATGTGAAATCGAGTGCAACATTTTGAAATATGATAGCCAACCTTTCATTGCATCTAAATGTTTTAGGACTCTGCATTTTAGCTTGCAATCTCCAGTGATTTATTAAAGGGCATACTGACGAGCAAAACATGATTTTTACTTCTCATTACTGCGTTACCAGGAAAGGTAATTAGAATACAGTAACGCGTATACCCAACTCTGATTAGATCTATGAAGTCGATCCTGTCTGTGTCAATAATGCTAATCAAAAAACAAAAGAAAGAGAAAATCACTCACTGCTCGACTGGAGAAAAAAAAAACAGCAACGATGTATATTTCATTCATAGTGTTGTATTTTACATTTTATTTTATTCAGTTTCTGAGTACTGTATGTGTGTCTGGATGCTAGGTGCCAAGTTCAGCAGCTGTACTACAGAAAGCTGGCAGAAGCACTGAAGTAAAGATATGCTGCTAGGAAAATTATACAATGCCTCATAGGGGTGGGCGATATAGCCTCAAAATGATATCACGATTTTTCAAGAATATTTGTGATAACGATATTTATGACAATGTACAAAAAAAAAAAACATGGAACGTTTTATTGGTGATTGCAGCTGGCAGGCAGCAGCATAGTGCAAACAAAATGAAGGGCATTTTCCATCCTTTTCCAATGAGCTACAGTCATTGATGACAAACTACCTAATTTGAAGTGTAAATCTATTGTCATAAGGTGGCAGCAGCAGCTGTGTGTTCGACTTGAAGCAGACCGATCTGACGTTAAAATACAGCGAGTGACTTACCCCTTATTTACCGCTAATTTTCGTCATCAAGAGGGCTTGCGGAAAACCGCGCACCTCATTTGCATGCAGGCAATAGGCTTGTTTGAGATGAGCAAAATCTGCACAGAACCGATCACCGGTGATCACCGCGAGATGCATGCCGGTTAGAAAAGTGTCCGAGTTACATCCGACTTGCTCTGATGTCATGCTGACGTGTGCCAAAAAACTCTCGCGACGGCGAGGCGGCTGTGTCGGACTGTGCAGTCGAGCGCAGTTGCTCTCCACCGACTGTGCTGATCAAAAGCATGATGGGAAACGACTGATTGACGACAACTTAATGCTCATTGGTTCAGACAACGGTGATGCTGCGTTCTCTTTTACATTTTTTTTTTTTATCTGGTTTCATGTGATTATGTATTGAAATTATGCATGAATATTCTCAAACACTATGCAAACTCAGCAGACGAGCTGAATGAGATGCAGATTCACTCTCTGCCAGCAGGTGGCGCTTAAAGCGTTTCCTTTGTTTCCGCTGTAAACAAAGCAGTGCTGCACTTATGAACTTTAATATGCATCATACAGAGGCAAGAGGAACTTGCTCGCGGTTAATCGTTACATCCCTATTTATTTCCATATCATACAATAAAGTTATCACAAAATTCATTAACCATTAATGGGGAATGCTTTCAACATGTCTTTTAGACCTTGAGAATAATTGTAAAGATTATTTGTTTGTTCACATTTAAGCTCCACAGAGCTACCATGAAATCTGCTTTATTTTACCCTAAATTCTGGATTTCATTTTATTTTGTCCTGGATTTTGTGTTTTATGATTCAATACAAATGTATCAAAAAAGGGTGTCTAATTAAAATAATTAATAAAACTTTAACAATTAAATCAATCTTTTAAATACTGAAATATAAATGTAATTTACAACAAAACATTGCATTTGTATTTTTTTGTCAAATAAGATGCTGCAAAACAGCACTGTTAACTATATAGCTTAATGAAAAAATACCTTGGTTGTATGATATTCCTTAAAATTATTATTATTATTACTTGAGAATTACATTAGTATACAATAGTACTATATTTCTATTATAATTTCTTCAATTTGTTCACTGGAATTTAATTTTGACGGGTTGTGAAAGTCTTTCCATTTTACTTTCAGTTTCAGTGTGTATTTGACAGTAGCTTTGCTCAAAAGAAAGGGTGAAAAGTTATGAAGTGACTCTCAGAGCAGCTCAGGAGATGAAGTTCATATGTTCATGTCCTTATTTATTAAAAGGCAGACGCTGAAATCACAGTGAGCGTCACATGTATCAGACAAAACCGTGCTGTTCATTTATGCAGAGACATGCAGAGTTAGCCTATTAGCGACAAGCACTGACTGGCTGTTAGATTAATCCATATCGAGTAAAAATGTCTTATCGTTATCGACATTTTATCGCAACTCTATATGATATTGTTTTATGGCCTAGCCCTAGTCCCAAGTCTCTCACCGTAAACACAAGTAATAATTTGATGTCCCATTCTGTCCAGTGTAGACACGGACTTTGAATGTTGCAAACCATGCAACATTTTTGCAAAACTGTTTTAGCTCATTTTGTTGTGACTCTTTAAAGTATACTCACCGTAAACAAATGCACTGAGAAACACTGCTCTACAGAGTTTAATGGTAAGCTGCATTTTATTGCATTAAGCATCGTTTTCCTCCAACTTTCTGCAAACCTACGAGAACAGACCAACTAATCATTTTTGGATCATGAACCAGCAGTTGAGAAGAAAAAAAAAACTGCTCTGGACCAATCGTAAAATACGTAATAGCTGTCACAATGACTTCACTCCTTTTGGATAATGGAAGTAAAAATTTATTTCTCACCCTTCTTACGAAAAATAGCATTGAGGAATCGGTCTGCTTGGCACTGGAGTTTATCAGAGGTGGACAGGCCATGAGGTGGGGGGGTTTCAGCAGGGGGTGGCGAGCCAGGCACGGCCACAGCAGGGTGGCTCTAGGTCACAAAAAGTAATAGTCAGTTACTGACCCCTGTCAGATACAGCCCATACTAGGGCTGCATGATTAATCAAATGTGATTGTCATGCGCATCTTGTCAGTAAAGTCGGTTCTGTAATCAGTAGTAAATCTCCATCACCTGCTTTCAGATGGAGCAGCATTTACTACACAGAGTAGTTCACTGACATGCTACGCAAAAAAAATTGCAGACGATATAATCGTGCAATTATGAAATCTAAGAAATCATTTGCGATAATGACAGCTTGTTTGCGTAGCTTCTCTGTGAATAACAGCTCTGTGTAGTAAATGCTGCTGCTTTTTCAAACTCACTTCATAACGTCAGTCGAGTGTTAAATTAAATCCTTCTGTGAGATGACGTGGCTTCTTTTATACTGAATAAGGCACGCAATATTTCATAGTATTCTAAGCAGTGATAAAGTCTATGTCGATTAGCATTGCATTATAATATTATAATGAAAATTATAATAAGATAAACCATATATTGTCGTAGTTGTATGTTTATTAGTTATGTTGAATCAATAAAAGCTGTTTATCTTCTGTTTATCCAGCTACCACTATAGGCATTTCCTGGGTTTCTTCTGCGGGGCGTATTTGGACTTTCTGCGCGAGAGCGCCCTCTGTCCTTCGGATGGAGATTTACTACTGATCACAGAACTGTGCTTCACTGAGATACACGACAATCGTAGCTTTTACCTAATCGAGAATATGATTTCATTCGATTTATCATGCAGCCCTAGCCCATACAAGTGTTAACTACAGTCTCACAGGCTCGAGTTGTCCCTAGTTATAATTAATGAACTTGTTTAACCATATTATAAAGAGACTGCATTAACAAACAGAACAGCTGCTAATCAGCAACTATTTGTCCTATACAAATGTCAAAGCATGACTGTTCTTACTAACAAACACCCCAGAATAAGCACACCTTTTTTGTGGCTTTTGAGGGTTGACTCACATTCGGTTTCTCTAGCTGCAGGTTGCAAAAAGAGCAGTTTGCATTAATGGACCAATCATCCACATCCTCTGGTTCACACTCTGAGGGAGAATCATATGAATATTCATCAGCGTCAAAAAAGGTTGAATTTTCTATGACCAAGCATGGATGAATATTACCACACACACAACATAAAACTCACCATCAAATATATTGAGATCTTGCAGCAGCCTTGGTCCATATATTCCCTCCAGTATACTTTCAAACCCTGCAAAAAATAAATTAATTAATTGTCATTTGTAAAAAAAAAAATAATAATAATAATAATCCAAAGGAGTAAAAAAGTATCCTAGAAAACAAATACATTATCATAAACCTACACAGATCTGTCACAACCCTTACCTGCCAGAAAGTGGTGGTTGATGGTTTTGTTAAAAGGTAAAAGGTCTACAAATGTAAAACGGTTTCTTTTTACAATATTGGCTAATAAAAATTAATTTTACATGCAATATATAATTCTATAAAATGCTCTAACAACAAATGCAAATACTCCCTGCACACAAAATCATTAGTTGCAAGACAAGCATAGGCCTACGTTAAAAAAAAAAATTCAGGTGGTCACGATGCTATGATAAAACTCAGAGTGTAAATATTATTATAGCTTATTTATATAAAAGTGAGAAAAGCTCATATTTGCAGTGCTGCTGCATGGTATGCATGAATGATACCCTTCACAGCTACATTCACATTATGTTCTTAAAAAAACACACACACAAAAGCTCACCCAAGAATGTCACATTCTGCAAATACTAATCAATCTTTTCTGGTTGCATGGGGGTTTTTTTATTTTCAAAGCATTAAAGCAACAAATGACATTTTATAATGCAAAACATGTTATACATGTTTAATGAACCATCCTATCATGAAAAATCTAGTTTTAAACACGCCAAATCTCTGTATGTACCCTTAAAAACCTCAGAGGCCTTGACCTTCTCGACTGTATCCAACCCTTAAAACCATACAACAAATCACAATCTATTAAACTCACCCTATATTTACAACAATTATACTCTGTTGTAGTAAAAACAATTTGAATTCTTTAATTTTCATTTTAATTAGCACAAATTCAATATATAGTACCGTTTACAGCGGTGTATAAAATGCATGTCAACAGTTTCGCAATAAGCCGGAGGTTGAGTGACCAGTTTATGCAGTAAAGGTTAGTCATGTGAATCTGTGGGTTTACGCTGAACACCATCAACTCTGCCAAACAAGTGTCAACAACACTACTAGTTCTACCACGTTTTAAAAGAGTAAGCTGGGTATCTATTCAACTAACGTTACCCGTTTTCAAAACGCCAAAAACCGTTCAGTAATTTAGTAAAGAAGCACTCTAATGACTTCTTAAAACTCTAACGTTACTACTTTTGGACATCTCAACAACAATCTATGGCAATGGTGCAAATGGCCGAATTATTCACGCAAGACATTCAAAAGCCGGACCCTAATGATGAATTATTATCATAATACAATCACGCGGTAGTTTGTATATCGGTATTCGGTGCAGAAAGGGTCAGTGAGTGCAAAGCTAACTCGGTTATCGAGGAATCATGAAGTAGGCACAAAGAAAATGGAGCCGGCAGAGCTCGCTTGGTCGGTGTCCGTTTTTTCTGTTAGCTACAAAGGCTTCCTCGGGCTCGCGCGGACCACGGCTCTCTATGTAAATGATTATTTTTGAACTTGACACACGCTCGCTTAGCAACTCCGAGAGCTAGCAGCTGCTGGGGGAGGGAGCTCCGCGAGAGAAAGAAACTGAGCGGATGGATGTTGCGATGTGTCCGCTTTTGGAATAAACGTTATGCAAATACGGCTTTTCCGAGCGCGGGGTGATTTAATCTTACCGACACAGTGGATGAGTTTGTGTCGCCATGAGTCGAGTTCCCGCCGGAATCCTTTTCTTTCGGTCGTGCATCTGGAGCTCCGGCACTGGGTCGCCATTCTGTCCGTCCGCCTCCCCCCGGCTCTGAGCGTGACGTCACCGCGCGTCATCCATATCGCGGCTCCGGTTGATTGACACGTGTCAGAACAGGCTAGAGGCGGGGCTTAGCGTTGTAAACAACCCCCAGTATATGTGCATTTATTTAGCAAAATTGCTGTGTGCTGTTTGAGTTAGGGAAAATTACAGTAGCCGTTTGATGAACTGAATGCAGTGTATCTGAATGCCAGTGTTTAATTTAATATTATGTTCTGCACCTGTCATCTATAACTCTCGTAGCCTACTAGTATTACCATTAAATAATATTCTTCCTATCAACCTCGCTGGGGATAATCATCAATCACACAATTGTACAAGACCTTTACAATGTGTGCATAAACTATCAGCTCTTATGTAACAGTTTGTAGCCTGCTGTTTAATCATCAACCAGAAGCTGATTATTTTTATTTATTTATTTATTTAGTCATTTACTTGTGTAAACATACCTGGCAATAAAAACTCATTCTCTCTCATTCTCTCTCATTATGATTATAATGGTAATGCTGTGCTAAAACGGTTGCTAGTTTAATAATACTGTAGAAGTGGCACAGAAAAGCAGCTTTACCGATCAGGAGAATCAACCAGATCTTGCGTTATGTCGAGTAAAATGTAAATGATAAAATTGTGGGCACAATATTTTCATCATTCAGTTGTGCTCTATGCATTTAACTGTGGTGAATCATGAATTATAAATCTACAGATATGTCCTTTTGTCTTTACATTTCAAATTGTTAACATTAAACCTAATGTGTGCCCCTCCCCCATTTCACTAAAGTGACACACACACACACACACACATACACATAGATTGTATATGAAGTCCAACTGTCCAGAAAGAGGAAGGCACTCAGAGAGAACAGATGGAGTTAATGCCCAGCTGAGCATCGATGTCACACACACACACACACACACACACACTCACGCAAACGCACACACACACAGAGAGGGAGTGGGAGGGGGGATAAGGGAGAGAGAACATGTCTGTTTTACAATTCAGTATGCTGCTTCTAATTCAGATGCACATGCAATTTATTTTATATTCCCCTTCTCCATTTTGGATCAATATACAGGTCATATATGAAAAGTATCGATCAACATGTTTTAATTTTACAAATTGTCCATGTGTGTAAAATCCATGCTGATATCAAAATCAATTTCAAAATCAGTCTTTCTGATACTTTCACACTGCATGCATTCAATCCCACGTGACAATATTCCCGCATTACTTTCAGTTTGAACCTCAAATTTCTACCAGAATCACTGAATCCATTTTGGAAACTATAATAGACAAACAAAATCGGAAAAACATGAAAAGAAAATAGCTATCTTAGACTAATCTCTCTCTCCCTCTCTCTCTCTCTCTCTCTCTCTCTCTCTCTCTCTCTCTCTCTCCCTCTCCCTCTCTCTCTCTCTCTCTCCCTCTCCCTCTCTCTCTCTCTCTCTCCCTCTCCCTCTCTCTCTCTCTCTCTCCCTCTCCCTCTCTCTCTCTCTCTCTCCCTCTCCCTCTCTCTCTCTCTCTCTCCCTCTCCCTCTCTCTCTCTCTCTCTCTCTCTCTCTCTCTCTCAATTTCAATTTCAATTTAAGA